CTGGGTGATGTGGTTTGGGGACGGCAAGTTCTCAGTGGTAAGCGGCACCTGCAGCATGAGGGGTCCAGACAGCCTCCCCGTCCGCAGGCATTCCCCCACCCCAGCTCACAGCCATGTCATGTCCCCCAGGTCTGTGTGGAGAAGCTGCTGCCGCTCAGCTCCTTCGCCAGCGCCTTTCACCAGGCCACCTACAACAAGCAGCCCATGTACCGCAAAGCCATCTATGAGGTGCTGCAGGTGAGTGGCACTGGCTGAGGGAGGACACTGGAGCCCACGGGGCAGGGGGTGTGAGAGCAGCAGCCCTGTCTTGACTCATGCACCCAGCAGTGTCCTGGAGAGCTCAGGGTGCCTCTGACAAAGCGCATTGTGTATTGTGTGCAGGGGACTCCCTAAGGAGTTTTTGGTGGTGTCTAGGAATCTTGTGTTCCAGCTTGGGGGGTCTGCTGGGGAAACTGGGAGGGTCTCTGGGGAGCTGCTGAAGATGCTGGGGTGTCCTGGCTTTTTGTGGGTATCTTGGCAGTGTTGGGCGTGTTTTGTGGGGCGATGTGGGGGTCCCTTTGGGGCTGGGCAGTGCAGGCAGTGTCTGGTGGCCCCTCAACAGGGTGGAGGGGTGGCTGGGTGACGGCTGGTCCTGCTGGTCCCCGGGCAGGTGGCAAGCAGCAGAGCAGGGAAGATCTTCCCGGCATGCCCTGAGAACGATGAGACGGATACCTCCAAGGTGGTGGAGATCCAGAACAAGCAGATGATTGAGTGGGCCCTGGGTGGCTTCCAGCCCTCTGGCCCCAAGGGCCTGGAGCCCCCTGAAGGTGAGCAGTGTGGGATGGGACATGGGGCCATGCCCACAGGACAGCTTGGTGGCCTTGGCAAGAGTTCCCTGGCTATCAGCTCTGGCAGCACCGGGGTCGTGTGGGCAGAGGAAGCACTGTGGGTCCTGGGGGGAGTCTTTGCAGGGTGTGTAGCCCTCAAGACCCCACTGATGGGAACCCACATGCTCCTTGCAGAGGAACGAAACCCCTACAAAGAAGTTTACACAGAGATGTGGGTAGAGCCAGAAGCAGCTGCCTATGCACCACCCCCACCTGCCAAAAAACCCAGGAAAAGCACAACAGAGAAGCCCAAGGTCAAGGAGATCATTGATGAGCGCACCCGAGGTACCACCCAGGGAGTGAGGGATGTGCAAACATGGGGGTTGGTTTGGCTGTGACCCTGCTAGGGCTCGTTCCTGATGCTGGCAGGGCTGTGCTTGCCACAGAGGCTGCAGAGAGGGGACCTGGCTGGGGCAGGGCTGACACCAGGCAGGACCCCCCCTCTCCTGACACCCTTTTCCCTCCCCAGAGCGGCTTGTGTATGAGGTCCGGCAGAAATGCAGGAACATTGAAGGTGAGTGTGGGGCAGTGGCTAGCTCTGGGGCCGGGACCCATCCTTCCCCTGGGGATGGGGCTGGGGTGCAGGCTCCCTCCCTGGCTGGGCACCAGTTCCAGCTGCAGGGCTGAGAGGGGCAGGGGAGCAACAAGGTATGGGAGGATGGGCTTTTCCCATTGCTCAGCAGGGATGGCAGCAGCACTGCTCCAGGCAATGGTGGGGACCCTTGGGGCACTGTGGGGCACTGGGACACTGCCTCAGTCTGGAGACCGCAGGGCTGGGGGCCTAATGGGGGTCGGGATGGTGACAGGGAGGCAGTGGGAGTCCTGCCCCACTGTCCCCAGGGTCAGTCCCCATCCCACTACAGTGGTTGTCCCAGCATTTTGGGGCTGGGGAAGGGCTCTGTCACTCCCTAGCTCAGGGGGTGAAGCTGATGTGACACAGACATGGAAGGGAGGGTATTTGGCAGGGTGGCAGAAGGACTGAGAATTGGGCTGCTCCCCATGTGCTGGGCTCACCCTGATGTCTGATGTTGGAGGGTGTTAGACCATGGGGCTAACATCTCTTCTGCCCCTCAGATATCTGCATCTCCTGTGGGAGCCTCAACGTGACCCTGGAGCACCCTCTATTTATAGGAGGAATGTGCCAAAACTGCAAGGTATGGCACAACATGGCACAGGCAACCCTGGTACCAGGCTAGTGGGCATGGGCAGGGTCCCCCCTGACACCCTGTCCTCAAGGTGTCCCTGCCAGGCACCAGGAGCTGCCCCGGTGCCCTCACAGCGTGCCCGGTTTCGCAGTGGTGTCCTGGCATCTCCACCACAAGGCTTGGGCTGCACCATGCTCACACCTTGGTTCTTCCCCAGAACTGCTTCTTGGAGTGTGCGTACCAGTACGACGATGATGGCTACCAGTCCTACTGCACCATCTGCTGTGGTGGCCGCGAGGTGCTCATGTGCGGCAACAACAACTGCTGCAGGTCTGGGGAACCATCCTGGTGCGGGGCTGGGGAAGTTTTGGTGATGCTGCAGTCCTAGCATGGGGCTGGGGAGGTTTCAGGGAGGCCATGTATTTGGCATGAGACTGGAAAGGTTTTTGTGATGCCACAGTCCTGCCATAGGGCTTTGATCATGCCAGTCCTGGTGTGGGACTGGGAGGTTTTGGTGGTTGCCAGTTCTGGCATTGTGCTGGAGAGGTGGTGGTGATGCCCCAGTCCTGGCATGAGGCTAGTGAGGTTTTGGTAATTCCCTGGTCCTTGCGTGGGGCTGAGGAGGTTTTGGTGAAGCCACAGTCTTGGTATGGGGCTGGGGAGGTTTTTCTTGTATGCTAGTCCTGGTTTGGAGTTCTGGTGATGTCCTAGCCCTGGCATATGGCTGGGGAGGTTTTGGTGACACTGCAGATCCCAGCTGCGGGTCTTCATATGGGTCTGGTGAAGGTTTGGGCAGTGCTGCAGGTCCCAGCATGGGTCTGCCAGTCCCAGTATGCCCCTGTGCCACTGGCCTGCAAGGGGCACAGCCATAGCCTGGCCTTAGGTCCCAGTGGGACCATGCTGGGGACACTGTACCCTCACAGCAGGGATGCTGCTGGTGGGCACTGGTCTCAACCTGTCTGCTGACGCCATCTCTGCTCTCCCAGGTGCTTCTGTGTGGAGTGTGTGGACCTGCTGGTGGGCCCAGGGGCAGCCCAGGCAGCCATCAAGGAGGACCCCTGGAACTGCTACATGTGCGGCCATAAGGGTGTCTATGGGCTGCTGCGGCGGCGGGAGGACTGGCCCTCACGCCTCCAGATGTTCTTTGCCAACAACCACGACCAGGAGTTTGTGAGTGCCCCTCTGGAGGGACCCCCAGTCCCAGCTGGGTCCACACCACCCCAGTGCCCCAGTCACCACTCCCCACCTGACGCACTTACCTGTGGCTTTCAGGACCCACCAAAGGTGTACCCGCCTGTGCCAGCTGAGAAGAGGAAGCCCATACGGGTGCTCTCGCTCTTTGATGGCATTGCCACAGGTGAGTGTGGGTCCCTGGCCCAACAGCCCCTGCAGGGACCCTCTCTGGGGCAGAAGAGAGTGGGGCAAACAGCCTGCCTGCACTCTCCAACTGTCTGGCCTTGGGGCAGAGTGTTCTGTGCCCATCAGGGTGTCATGTGTGGACAGACCTGTGTCACCTGCAGGACCCCCAGCCCTTTTTCTGCCCCAGACCCTCAGATACTGCACTTTAGGGGGGACAGGGATGGGAATGGTGGTGCTGCCAGAGCGGACCAGGAAAGGCTGGGACAGCAGTGGGGGCCTGTTGTCCGTGTGTCGCCCACCCCAGCCCCACTCCATGCAGGCCTGCTGGTGCTGAAGGACCTGGGCATCCAGGTGGACCGCTACATCGCCTCTGAGGTGTGCGAGGACTCCATCACTGTCGGCATGGTGAGGCACCAGGGCAAGATCATGTACGTCGGGGACGTCCGAAATGTCACCCAGAAACATGTACGTCCTGCTGGCTGCCCCACCTGTGGCTCCCCTTCCCCTGCAGGCAGCCCAGACCCACGTCCCCAGGATGGAACCTGTCCCCTGTCCACATGCTGGGCTTCACCACCATCGCTTCACTATCCCACCATCTGCACCCTTGTGTATATGAGTGTTCCCCCCAGCCAGCACAGTGTCCCCTAAGCTGGCAGCAGCAGTGTCCAGCACCTGGCTCACTAGTGGCTCTCTGTCTTGCAGATACAGGAGTGGGGTCCATTTGACCTGGTCATTGGGGGGAGCCCCTGCAACGACCTCTCCATTGTCAATCCAGCCAGGAAGGGGCTCTATGGTAGGTGTCTCAGTGTCTCCCTGCCGCCAGCCTCCACTGCCAGCGCCCCATAGCTGACACTGGCCCCTCTTGCTCTCTCCTCCCAGAGGGCACCGGGCGGCTCTTCTTTGAGTTTTACCGCCTGCTCCATGAAGCCCGGCCTAAGGAGGGTGATGACCGGCCCTTCTTCTGGCTCTTCGAGAATGTGGTGGCCATGGGGGTGAGCGACAAGAGGGATATCTCGCGCTTCCTAGAGGTGAGTGCCAGCAAGTCGCCAAGGACACAAAGGGTCCTACTGAGCCCCAATGACTTCTTGTCTTTCTCCCTTCTTGCAGTCCAACCCTGTCATGATTGATGCCAAAGAAGTGTCTGCAGCACACAGGGCACGGTACTTCTGGGGGAATC